GCAGCAGGGGCGGGGGCCCAGCACCCAGCACCCGCCCCATCCCTGCCCGGGGGGGCAAAGGCCCCTGCAGCCGGCTCCATGGCACCACCTGGCGGCCGCAGGGACCCGGCTGCTGCAGCGTCTCCCCTGCCCGCGCCAGGCCCCGCCCGACCCTCCCCGCGTGCGGTGGGGGGCTGCTCCCCGGCCCCCACCGAGCTGGACACGAGCCCTCGGCTCTGCTCGCCAGCCTCAATCCGTCCCTTGAGCACACGGGTGACCAGCCCCCTCCCCGCCTGTGGTGGGGCACAGCCGAGCTCCCCTCCCCGCGCCGCTGCCCCGGTGCAGCAGGACGCCCTGGCATGCCCCCCGTCTGGGCTCCGTGCGAAGCCCCCGGCCTTGGTGCCCGAGCTCAGCACTTTGCGTCGCATCGTGGCTCCCCGGGTCAGCCCCGAGCCTCTGCCCCAGCGCCAGGCCCGAGGGCAGTGCCAGCATCACAAGGACAGGGCTAGGCCCTGCGGCGTGGGCGCTGGTGCAGGCGGAGGCCGGAGAGCCCAGTGCCTGCAGCCAGCGCTGCTGTTGCCCTGGGGGTAGCGCCTCCCCGAGCCCCCGCAGGCACGGCCACATCAAACTGGATGGGGCCCTTTGCGCTGCCCGCGCCGAGCCAGAGAAGCTGCGCGGCTGCTTGTCCCGTTAATGCGAGATCCAGGGCGGGTGCTGGACCCCACAGCCCTGTTCTCTCCTGCCTCTCCACGGCCGTCTTGGAAGCGGCAGGGATGGGCACCGGTCTTATGGCAACGTGCAGCGCGTGGGGGGCATCTCCAAGTGGCAATGCACCCCCACATAAGAGAAGAGCAGGCACGAGGCTGCTGCGCTCAACCACCTTTATTCCTACAGCCTGGGGCGCAGCACCGAGCGCAGAGCCCGGGGCGGCTTCCGGCCCCTGACCGCAGCCCCTGGCACGTGCCTGGGTGCACGCAGCCACATGTGTCTGGGGGGCCCCGTGGCAGCATGGGGCTGCCCTGACACAGGGGGGCTGCAGCAATTCCAGGAAACCCCACAGCCCTCCCACAGTCCAGCTGCAGGACAGGGCCACGTTCCCTGGCTGGAGCTCTCCCCCCTGCCCGTCACGGCCCCTGGGCCACCATGGCGTGGATGGGCAGGGGCCTGGCGGAGCGTGGGAGCAGCACTGCCCTGGGCAGGGCCGGGGCAGGGCCTGGGGGTCGCGGTCACTTCTGCTTGAAGTCCTGCAGGGCCACGCTGGCGGCGTTGCGGCCCGCGGCTCCCATCACGCCCCCTCCTGCAGCGAGAGCAGCGGGTGAGACGGGCAGGGCTCGCGCTGAGGCCTGATGCAGCGCCCCTGCGACAGGCCAGGCCCAGCCGGCAGCCCCGGGCTGCACGGTCCCAGGGCCCGGGCCTGTGGCTTCCTGCAGCTGGTGAGGGGGCAGTGCCAGGCAGCGGTGGCCCAGGGCCCGGCCCATGCAGGGCCGCGTGTGCCCAGCCCCTTGTCTGGATGCAGGAGCAGCCCACCCAGAGCCTTGCACCCAGGGCACCCGCAGCCCTCGGGGCCCAGCCACGTACCAGGGTGCGCTCCGCTGCCGCACAGGTACAGGCCGGGGATGGGGGACCTGTAGCCCGCGTAGGACGGCACCGGGCGGGCGAAGTACAGCTGGTCCAGGGACATCCCTCCGTGGAAGATGTTCTGCGGACAATGGGCCGGGTCAGGCGCCGGCGCAGGGAGCTGGGCCGGGTGGGGGCTGCATGGCCCCACAGCCCGGCAAGACCCTCCAGCCCGGAGCCTGTGGGGTCGGCGCCAGCAGGAGCATTGGCACGGGCCAGCGCCTCGGGGCAGGACGGGTCGCAGGAAACGACCTGAACTAACTTCGCAGCCACCTCCCACCATGGCTCCGCGGCAGGAGACCAGGCGTTTCCCTCCTGGTGTTTGCAGGATGCTTTCGTGCCCCCCCCACACCACGACTCACCCCTCCGGGCAGCCCAAAGACCCTCTCCAGGTCCGGCGGGGTCAGCACGTCCCTGCCGACAACGGACGCCTTGAAGCCGGGGGCGTAAGCCTCGACACAGTCAAACACTGGGGGAGAGACGGAGGCCGGCTCAGCGGGGAGCCCGCGGGCTGGGCCTCGGCATCCCCGCGGGCCCCGGCCGTACCCCTGTCGGCGTAGGCCTCTCGCTCCTGCTCGCCCCAGGGCCGGCCGCCAGCCAGTGTGTACGGCGTGTACTGGGTGAAGAGAGACACCACGTGGCAGCCCGGGGGGGCCAGCGAGGGGTCCAGCACCGACGGGATGCACAGCTCGATCACGGGCCTGGTGCAGGAGAGAGCGGTGCAGCTGCGCTGGCCCCCACGGCCCCCTCCTCCCCTCCCCTCCCCGCTATTCCCCTGCCCTCAGGCCTGGGAGCAGCCGTGGGCGCCAGGGAGCAAGGGGCCCGGCCCTGGGCCCTGCAGCGTGGCTCTTGCCAGGGGTGCCGGCGGCTCCAGCCCCCAGTCCTACCGGGTGGAGGGCTGCCCCTGGCCGGCGTCCTCGAAGGCCCGGTGGAGCAGAGCCACGTCCTCGCAGTTGAGGTGGATGGAGCACTGGTGATGGGGCTGCGGGCGCCCGTCGTGCGGGGTGGGCGCAGCCAGGAAGCTGGGCAGCCGGGCCACGGCCACTGCGGGCGGCGGGGACGGTGAGACGGAGACGCCAGCGGCCGGAGCGGGGAGCACGGTGCAGAGCCTGGCGGGAGCCCCCCGACAGCCACCTACCGTTGATCTTGGTGACGGGGGAGCGCGTGTCCAGCTGGCCGACCTGCCGGACAAACGCCGGCAGCAGCTGCTCCTGGGGGCAGAGTCCAGCTCACGTTTGTGGGGCTGGAAAAGAGCTGGGGGTGGCCGCGGGGGAGCAGAGCCGGGGCTGGGCAGCTTGCTCCGCGTCCGAGACCCCCAGCGGGGCAGAGCCGGGGCCGGGAGCTGCCCGCCAGGTCCCACCTGCGAGTCCCTGGCCCCTGCCGGCCCACGAGGCGCCTCACCTGGGGCGTGAGCTGCAGGAAGGTGTGCTGCGGGGAGGCGTTGGATAGCACCAGGCGGCTCCGCAGCTCCGTCCCGTCCCCCAGCGCCACGCCGCACGCTGCTCCGTTGGCTCCCACCAGCACGCGGGCCACGGGCTGGGGCACGGGGGTTAGTACCGAGTGCTGGTGGCAGCGGGCATCTCTTGTGGCAGAGCCCGGTGCCCCGGCCCGTCCTGCACAGGGGACCACCCTGCAGCCCCTCGACCCGGGCTCTGGTAAGTGGGTCCCACGGGGAAGCTGCCGCCTCCATCCTGTCCCAGGCCAGTGCCCATCACCGCAGCACCCGGACGAGGGGATGGGCAGGGGGCTCCCCAGAGCTGAGCGCACTGTTCCCGGCAGGGGCTGGGGGTCGCGAGCACCTTCTCGGTGAAGATGTGTGCCCCGTGGGCAGCGGCCGCGCAGGCGATGGCGTGGGACAGTGCTCCCATGCCGCCAGCCACGTAGGCCCAGGCGCCCCGCTGCCCCTGCAGCTCGCCCATCACGTGGTGCAGCAGCACGTACCTGGGCACGAAGGGGACAGCGCTGACCGGGGCCAGGCGGCAACAGCCTGCAGGTGCAGCAGGGCCCGTGGGGGGACGGAGCGGGAGCTGCAGCGCCGAGCACCCAGCACTTCAATAGAGGCCCAGTACACCGGGGTCCCCTTGCAGTTGCCCCAGCTCTGTCCACGCAGCCCAGGGGAGCAGGTGCATTGCAGCCAGGGGCCGGGGCCGGGGCCGGGGCCGAAACCCAGCACGACGTGGGGGTTTGCTGGTTTGGCATCATGCCCACGGCAGAGACAAGACCCCCAGGGCACTGCCCAGGCCCCTCCGCAGTGACACGGGGGGCAGCAGCACATTTCTGCACCCCAGGACTCCCCTCCAGCACCCCTGGCTCATGTTGTCCCAGGGGCCCAGCCCCATACCCGCTGCCTGGTGTGTGTGGACTGGCCATAGCGCCGATCACCGCATCGGTCGCCAGTGTTGCCTTCAAGGGCTCAGACTCGAACCACTGGTCCAGGACCTGGAGGGGGGAGCACGGCCAAGTCAGGGACCCCAGGCACAGCCGGCACAGGGCTGCATGCAGCCAGCTCCAGGCCCCGGCGCGTGCCCGCGTCACTGACCTTGGAAATGGGGGCCGTGAGCACCTGGTAGGACTGGGGCAGCTGCTTTCCCAGCACCAGCCCTGGGGGAGGAGATGGCCCTGAGACCCAGGGGCCGGGGGCGACCGGCAGCCCTGGGCCCCAAGGAACGGGCTCCCGCGGTGCCCGCAGCCACCGGCGCCCCCGGACTCACCGGCCTGCAGCAGGGGCCAGAGGCTG